TCACGGGCGCTCCGGTACTCCAGTACATCCACTCACGGTCATCCATCCTCTAACATATATATCACCAAGTAATAAATATAACCATGGACTTGCTTCTACACGTCGTTCCTACCATCTAATAGGTAAGGATAGGTCCTAATCCCACTGATGATCGTAGATGGTGTTAGTTCCCATGGTTCGGTCCTATCCAAATGAAATTTCGGCAACACCTCCCATTGTTCTCCAAATACACGTCCCGACAGTGGAGATTGTGTATCCGGAGAACAACAGAAAAATCTTCTGTGAAACTCTGTCTCGGATCGGAGCGACTCATGGAAACTAACACCATCTGCGCATCCTCGGGCTGTCCAAAAAACGTGGACAATTGAAATCAGATACGGTTATTGATATGCAAAGATCTGCATATTTCTAACCGTATCTCTTTCGAACGGGAGACACCTAACTGGGTTACGTGGAGATACATGACCAGGACAAAGAAAGAGTGGTTATACCTTAGGTGGCGGTGAAGTCAGGCTAGCGGGGCTGTGGCGGGTCGGTGCGATGTGCGAGGGCGACGCAGTGCGGCAGACACAGGGACACCGGGGTACTCCGACTCGGCTCCTGCAAAAAGAAAGAAAGAAGCAAAATAACGTCAACTCAAAAATTCGGCAGCATCTCCCCTGAACGGTGAGGTTTCCAAACCTGAAAGAAAACCACGGCACGATGGCCGACAACCACATATATATCAAGGAACCACATGCAGCTTAATTATCAACTACTACTACTCTAACTACTACAACTACTACTACTACCACTACTAATACCACTACTACAACTACTAACTACTACTAATACCACTACTAATACCACTACTACAACTACTAACTACTACTAACACTACTACAACTACTACTCTAACTAATACACTAGGTCTGCAGATGCATGCATGGTACACTAGATCAATATAGGTTGATCCCTATGCGTACCTTGCACTTCATATAACATATTCATTCTGATTCACATCGGTAAAAGAAAAAAAGATAGAACTAAACGAAAATGATAGGGCGGCAGGAACAAAAACAGTGTACTCCTACCTAGCTATGACGAATACACAGTTGAGTGGGGTATGTAAGTGAATTGGTATGGTTTTCAGCTATACTATTTCTTATTTTCCTGGCACACAGAAAGTTGATGAAATATGTTTATTGATGAAAATGCATATTTCTGAATATTATTAAAGTTTTTAGCTTCCTGAAATGATATGGGGGCTAGATACGATCCAAATATGTTTATTGATGAAAATGCGCTAATTGCTAATAGATGGGCTAATTTTTAGCTAAACCTTCAACCAGTTGTTAGCTAACTCTAGCTCTAGCTGATCCGAGTATGCCCTGTATCAGTTACGATACCTGCATTTCATCAGGAGCAGTTTTCTTTTTATGTGGAAACTAATACATTTATGGACCCTACATTTATTCATTTGCAGATACCAGTCTGAAGCCCTGCTGCCACACCATAAAGTAATTTCCCTGCTCTGATTGCACCATCTATAACCCAAAACATTCATGTATCAATGCTAATGTGCTGCGTTCCTGTTTCCTGCACGTTCTTCACTGTCCACTGCCCCAGTGCGGGAGAGAGACGCCTGCTGGGAGTACTGCGACAAGCTGGATGGAAACAAGGTCAGGTGCAGGTTCTGTCACAAGGTTCTCAACGGCGGCATCAGCAGGCTCAAGTTCCACCTGTCCCAGATCCCCAGCAAAGGGGTGAACCCTTGCACCAAGGTGAAGGAAGACGTCATTGACAAGGTGAAGGCCATCATCTCGGCCAAGGAAGAGTACAAGGAGTTCCAGCTTCTCAAGAGGCAGCGTGTAGCCGAACTAAAGCAAGAGGTCATCTTTGGATTAAGGTTTCAGAAACCGTTTGGCATAAACCAACACAGTAGGAAAGGAACACCACAAACCTTAAATCTCCCAACAAATAGTGCAACAAACACTAATCAAAATACAGGGGGAAAATCCTTAGATCCAGCTATCCAAAGAGCAGAAAATTAACACACACACTGGATCAATGAGCGTCACTAACACATTTCTATGATTGAAAAATATTTTCCTGGTCCTTTAATTCAAAAAACACACTGTTGTATACTGACATAGTTCTTGCCATAATCAGGTTCTTGCAGAAGTTTTCAAATCAATCTTATTCTTAGTATAGCTATGATCGTACCAAAGTAAATCTTGAACAACAAATAGGAAAGCAGTACGAGGTCTATGTCAACTACTTTGAAGACCATAATTAGTAAACTGGAGCTAAATTATTTATCATATCATAGCATTTAACATGTAGGAGTAACATACAACTAGAAACACAAAACTCAACTCCTAAGCTAGATTCATCAAGTTCAGTTATGGAAATATTAGGTAAGAACAAGGATGAAGTCATAAAACAATGATGAGAAAGCATCAGTTGTTAATGTTATAAGTAGGCGTTCCTCCAACATCAAAGGCACGAACAGCTCATATTCTCATAATCTGATATCAAAATGTTCATTGTGGAAATCGTCAATGCGTATAATCTGAACGCACAGAAATCGGAATGAGTACAGGGGAAAAAACACCACCCTAATCCAGTGGCTAGCATTTTCAGGTTCTTGCCTCTGACAGTCTATTGTTCCACCTCCACCCCTCCTGACTCCTAAGGCGCACTCACCCCAGTTCATGCAGTGTGGGGAACTGGGGTTATCCATGGCGACCAAATTCCACAACAGAGGAAGAAAGAATAATCCATTACAAGGAAACGCGGTAATAGTTGTACCACCACGGTTAGTTAAGCGGGGGAGGGAATGGTTTCAGCCTCCAAAGCAGCCGGGGGTTCGCAGCGCATGACGGAAGAACAAGACACCGACACCGCCACGATCGCTTAGGGAAAAAGGAGGAGTGAGGAAAGTACTTGACTCGGTGCCCTTTTAGCGGAGGATGCAGAACTGCTTGGGGAGAGGACGGCGCGCCACTCCTCCTCGCTCCTCTGCATCTGCATGGGGCGGGACGAATGATCGCGTCGTTAGCGTCTTGAGGCGAGACGCCGCGATCGTCGGGCGTGGCTGGGGCGGGCGGCCGCCGCCGCCCGCCGTATGCATGCAAGGCGGACGTGGCGGGATGGGGGCGGGGCCCGGCTGCGCGGCGGCGGCGGCGAGGCGGGCGGAGCGGCGCGGCGGCGCGTCGCGGCGGCGGGCGTGGCGGGCTGCGGCTGCTGGCGCGGGCTGCGGCCAAAACAGTTCACCTTATGGGGTGCGCCAAACGGTTAAGTGGTGAAGCCACTTTGCCGAGAGCCAGATCTGGGAGGCTCTCGGCAAACCTTCCCCCTTTGCCGAGAGCCCCCATATCCGGCTCTCGGTAAAGTTATTTTTTTTTTCAAATTTCGTTCGAATTTTTTAACTAGCTAACTGCACAAAAAATTATTAAAAAAATAAAAATTATTATTTGCCGAGAGCAGCTCTCGGCAAACTGAACAAAAAATGATATTTCTAAAAAAAATTAAATCTGGAGAGCAGCTCTCGGCAAACCTCTTCGCCGAAAGCCAGCTCTCGGCAAACCATTGATCCAGGCCAGGTAAAAAAAAAGAAATCTGCGCCGAGAGCGGGCCTAGTTGCTCTCGGCAAGAGCCTTTGCCGAGAGCAATCCCACAAACTCTCGGCAAATAATAACCAAAAACAATTAATAAACAAAGAAAGCGGCTCCGGAAAAATATACGAAATTTTGCCGTGTTACAACTTATGCTCTCTAATGGCTATAGAAAAAGTTTGGAACTTGAACTAATTCGACCGTGACATTGTTTGAAAATCCTAATGGATCCTTCTCAACTTTATAAAACTTATTCGGAGATGTCTCAGATTGTAAGAATCATACGCAACCACTTGTGCGAAACATTTTCAATTTTTTACCACAGCCTCCAAGTGTGATACCATGGCTTCATTGCAAATATCACAATTTTCCGACTTCGTTTCCTTTTTAAGAATTTTTAAATCGTTGGGCGACATATGTTCGTGGTCTTGATTATGTAAAATAAAAGGTGAAAAAAAAACGTCAACAAGATGTTATTTGCCCTCAATAATGCATAAATAGCATGAATATCATTTTCTACTTAATTTTTTCCCGTGTTTAAATCAATCGCTGTTCAAATTTTAATCAATTAAAAAAACTCCTTGAAATGCAATTAATTAATTATATATAGCAAATAATTACAAAAATACACAAAATTTTAATATTGAGTACAACCTGTAGTATGTCTATAGAGAAAAAAGTTTGGAGCATATGAAAGAAAAAATAATTTAATTGGAGAGAGTTAGGAGAAGAGAAACACATGCACATGAAATATAGAAACCACATTTGCCGAGAGCCTGGGAGGGGCTCTCCGCAAATAGTTGCCGAGAGCGGCGCTCGGCAAAGAGTTTTGCCGAGAGCAGTAACAGAGGGGCTCTCGGCAAAGCGGTGACGCCGTCAGGGCAGGTCACGGCTATGGGCCCGCTTCAATGTTTTGCCGAGAGCCTGATTTTGCCGAGAGCGCGGCCTACGGCAAAGGACCGTTTTGCCGACGGGCATTTTTTGTCGAGCGCGGCTCTCGGCAAAACGGCCCACTTCGCCGAGAGTTGTTGCTTGCCGAGATGCAGGCCCACGGCAATCCTGTCGCTTGCCGACGGCCGGTGTTTGCCGAGAGCCGCGCTCGGCAAACGTTTTCTTTGCCAAGAGCCCGCGTTTTTGCTCTCGGCAAAAATCTCGGATCTCGGCGAAGGACGTTTTTCCGGTAGTGCATCCAATAAGGTCTTGTATGGCTCAAGATAACAGGTCAGGTGAATCTAAAGTTGTGGGATAAAAAAAAGTTTGTAAAAGAATATCATGTACCTCATATCACTTCTAGTTGTTTATACACAATTTATGATCCATGTATGCACACTACCATTATGTGTCTAGATCCCTCGAAGACCTAACAACAAAACCTCTACTACTGTAAATATAATGAAGTCACTAAAGAGAATGGACGTAAAGTGCAGCTCCAAGAGCCATCGCTTCATCCGGTTTCCTCCGTATGTTAGGCTCCCTTCCATCAAAGTAATCCCTGACGAGGTTTTGAATCCTGGGTATCACGGCACTCCCACCGACCATAACAATCTCACCGATCTTGCTCTTGCTCCACTTTATACCACCTCTGTTCACCATGGCTGTTTCCACCAAGTTCATGACTTTGCGGAACAGATCATCATTCAGTTCCTCAAACTCCGACCGTGAGAGCGGCTCCGAGAAATCGACACCATCAACGAGGGACTCAACAATCACCTGGACATGATCTTGACTGCTCAATGCCTTCTTGGCATTCTCACATGCCGCCCTCAATTTGCCTAGACCGATCCTGTCCTGACTGATATCCACTCCGTGCTTCAGCTTGATGCGCTTGGCGAAGTAGTCCACGACCCTGTCGTCAAAATCGTCTCCTCCAAGAAATTGTCCATCCGATACCCAAAGACTTGAAACCTGCCGTCCAGCAGCACCACAAGGCTCGCGTCGGACGAGCCGCCGCCGACACGCAAGACAAGCGCAGTGCCGCGCTCGCGCAGCTTCGTGTGCAGGCCGTGAGCGACGGCAGCGGCGGTCGGCTCTGTGACCGTCCAGACGACGTCCAGCCCGGCCATCTTGCCGGCGTACTCAGCCGCCCGCTGTGTGCCACGGCGAAATGCTGCGGGATGGTCATGACGGCGTACTCGACCGTGCGGCCGAGGTACTCCTCGGCCTTGTTCTTGAGCTCAGCCACTACCATGGACGCGACCTCGCTGAACTCGAGCTGCTTGACTGAACCATCGCTGGCCGTCACTTGGACGATCGCCGTGTCGTAATCTCTTGTACCGATCTTGTACGGCACGCGCTGGATGGCTCCCTGCACGATGTCCTCGTCGTACCAGCGGTTTCGCCTATTAACAGATCGAATAATGATACACACTAATCATGAATCCATCAATCAATTATATATAACCTAATATATATGTATTGTTTTTAGTGGAACGATATATACCTTAGCCCGAGCAAGCGTTTGAAACCGAAGATGGTGGCCTCGGGGTTGGCGGCGGCGTGGTTCTTGGCGGCCTCGCCGACGAGGGAAGTGCCGTTGTCGGTGAAGGCGACCCAGGAGGGGATGCAGAACTGGAACATGGTGTCGTCGTCGGTCGTCTTGCCGGAGCCGGTGTAGCCGGCGACGCAAGAGTTGGTGTTGCCTAGATCGATGACGACCACTTCTCCGCGCCGGTACCAGAACTCCCTCGGCCTACTGTCGGGGTACGTACTTGGGTCCTCGTCAAGGAGCATTTGGAGCCCGGGCGCCGTGGCCACCAGCACGCATACGAGGATGAGCACCGCCGGCAGAGTTACCGCCGGGCGGCGACCGCCAGCAGCCATTGCGACCAGAAGAATTACTAGGTCTCTTAGGTTTCGTTATCAGTTTTTTTTTTTGACACATCCGGTTAGGCCGAGTACGGTTTTGGTTTGGAACTTTGGATAGCAAACATTGGTCGTGTCGTGTGTCCCTCGATCGGATCGGATCCGATCCGTTACGTAATACTGGACGACTCTGTTCAGCCAGCTCCGTGAGCAAGGGGCCCATGGCCAATACTCCGTTTGCAGATCAAATTAAGAGGGACGTGTTGACAGCCAAATATAATCGAGAGAGTAAAAGAACCAGAAAAACAAATTAAATTGAAGAAGATCAAATTTGGAACAATTGTACAAATTTCACCAGTTTCCTAAAACCGTCAAAGGTAATTCTATTTCCCGACGGTTTATTCAATAACCGCAAAAAAAATTTAAAACCATCAGGGAATTCATGTTTCCATTAGTGTGAGCTGATTTCGATAGTCCAATATTATTTCGAGTTTTTTGTTGGGGACTCGCTCTATCTCGAAGGGTTAAACTTGTAAGTTCTAATACGACCATCCACCCCAATTTATATGACAGGATCATGGCTAATTGAGAAATCCATCTATCTCATCAATCAAAAGGTTCAATCTACTACACTTTTTTTTACCCTCAAACTCTTACAACCTATTGTTGTCCAACATTTTTCTATACAAGATTTACTAGAGTTCTAAATGGTCTTGCAGAACCTAGGACATCCCTGCTATGCTTTACCCTGATAAATCTTTGCGAGGTGGTTGTTCCGGGCGAAGAATGAGTGTCAGATCAGTCTCGCCAACACCCCAAGTCAGCATCGCCATTTATACCTACCTCACCTGCATGTCTCAATCGTGTGCGGCCCTTGCAATCATGCATACTGTACGTGTAACCGAATTAGTGTCAGCACTTTTTTTATAACTACTGAAAACGAAAGGGAAAAATATTTTATCCCTATGTGGTTGTGTACAAACATCTTATATAATTTTACTATTATATGGTTGTTGTCCAAGAAAAGTGCGACGATACAAACAAGCTCAAGACACAAAGAAAGAGACAAGAAAAGGTATATATCTTATAGTATTTGTGATTTTTTTTTGTGAAACCATAGTATTTGTGATTTAGATGACAACACAAGTCTAAGACTAACACGAGTGAAAAGAGAGTTAGATTATACTAAGTCCTAGGAATGCAAGAGACGAAGTGGTGCAAAGATCGGCGGAGAAACGACGCAAACACCAATAACTGAACCACTTCACAGCCCTATTTAACACAAGGTAGATTGGTAGGAGGCACCGCACAATTAATCTGCCGAGAAGAAAATGGGCTGCGGCAGAACATCTAGTGATTATCAGTAAGGTGGCAAAAGGAAACTTGCACTCACCGAGTCACCGTACGATATGGCAGAAAATATAATGGCGTCCGCAACGAACCGAGCGAAATCGCTGGCTAATGTGGATGAACGAGAAATAAATTAGTATTGATATGTAATCGTTCTCTCCTATTGGATCCCACCTATTCATCTCTGTTTTTATCGAACGATGTGAAATCGAATAATCGATCGGCGACTTACTAGGTAGCAGTGAGTTTTCTCTTTCCACCTTTTTGGCTTCCACGTCGGACTCACAGCCAGCGACGTCACTACCCCCTTGGGACACCCTAAGCAGTAGATCGTCTCGTGAATGGAAAAAGGCAACGAGTCATCCAATGCTTATGATTTCGCAGCTTGTTTCCTACGGCCAGTTGAGGTGAATGGGGTTATATATAAGGTTGTCTACACTGCATCCACCATTTTTGTTCGCTTGAACTTATCATCCCTGCTTGTTAGCCATGGTACACTGTTTTTCTAAAACAACAAAACAACATCAGCCGGCTTATCAACCGTAGAAATTAAACCATCAGCCGAACAACCCATTCAAAATTACATCCAAAATTAGGATAGACAATATTTTAATGCATCTTTGTTGAGAGTTAGTCCCTAGAGTTTGAGAGCTTTGAGTGATTGGGTCTTGATGCCCTTGTATCTTGACAATTCGGAGTGCAAGTCTTCATGACCTTCCAGTGAAGGTGAGGTAGCCTTCGAGTCGTCGACTCTCTCCATTCTTGGTGTGGAACGACAACGTGTTAGTGTGCAGAGGACAAGGAAGCATCTCTCCCTTAAATGGAGAAACCATGTAGTGGATACAACATCAAGGTGACCGCGACTAAGTGGATCTAGTGAGACTATGTGACTCACACCCGCCTTTGCTCTGTATTTGACACACCATGATCAATTTGGGTGACAGTAGTGGCAACTCTGAGACTTGATGACTCACAATACTTTGGTTGGCGAAGGCCTTGTGTGATAGTCCAACACTATAGTAACCATCGGGTGGCATAGGGAGATTTTGTGACTCCATTGGTTTTGGTCGAGCGAACACCGCAATCGAGAGAGACTTATTGATTGGGAGCATGCCTCGATAGATCTCCAACATAGACTAAGGGTTGTGTTTTAGCAACCAATAGCACAGGATGCCAAGAGTTTATCCTCTCTATCCTTTGCTCTTTACTTATCATACTTGTGTAATATTTACCTTTGTAAGATTTAGTTATAGACTGGTTGTTAGGATTGGCTATATATGTTAATAAACTCTTTGTGGGTTGTTGGTAAGATAAAAGTGCACTAGAAAAACGTTAATTGCACGTCATACTAGAGTTAGAGTAGTTTATGGGTTCTCTAAGAGCATCTCCAAAGAGTGTTTCTAAAATTCACCTCTAAATCATCATGATTTGGAGAGTCATCTGCATAAAAATCACTTAATATATGTTCCTCCCCGCCCCCTCAAACAACTTTTCTATATCTTATATTTTTGTATACACTTTAGAGAATCATTTTCGTATCTATCTTTAGTTAGCGAGAAATTCAAAATAGAGGATGACTATATTTGAATATAATCATTTAAAGAACCGGTTGAAGGTTACTTTAAAATAGAAAAACTCTATTCCTAAAAATTAGGAAGGATATAGAGAATCTCTTAGAGTTGTTATAATGGTAGTTAAATTTGACCCCTAGGATCTATGTTTTGTTTAGACCCAATTCACATAATCCCCCCCCCCCTCTTGGGTGCTGACAGAACCTAGTTGCGTCCATAAAAATCTACAATTTTGCCTTGCCAAAACAAAAAAGGTCTTGCTTCAAAATGGGAAATATTTTTTGGTCACATAACCATTATTGAACGAAGATTATTACTCTGCTGACACAATTGACCAAAGCCAAAACTGTAAATATGTTTTTTTATAGCTGTGGTGTGTGCTCCAAGTTTACTTTTACACAGCTCATCTCTCAGACCGGAATAAAATTGATGGGGAAGGCTACCGCCGTCAGCACACACTAAAAACATATGGACTAGTGCATATGATGGGAAATCATTTCTACTACCAGACGTACCTACACCAATCCTATAACCAGTATGGGTATGGCCCCAATCCTATAACCAGATGGGTATGGCCGAGCAGGTATTAAGCTTGTCGTTTTATATCGGGTGACCCCAATATGGTACTGAACCAGGCTAAATTAATGTAAGCACAGCAATTAATGTAAGCACAGCAGCTGAACAATGTCAATTTTGTACCCGTGCAATTAATGTAAGCATGATCATACTAGACACCTATCCTAACATCTCCGTGCAGTTCTATAGATACATCGAGGATCATATTTTCAAGATGATGAAATTCTTCTCTCCTTAAGCTTTTTTTATGGTGACGATGAAGCGATGATGGATCGCTGGCGCCCAACCTGAGGCTCACCTTCGTAGGATGATGTTCGGCGTTGCTCACTTGTATTAGCTGCTGTGGACCTCCAGAAATACCATAAGCAAATAAGAGCCATCACACTGAACAATGTAACAGCTATCCATATGCCCTTGCTATTGCTAGTGTCATGTACGTGAACCACTTCACTGTCCGCAGAGATGTCCACAGAAGAAATGTTTGTCTTTGTACACTCTGCTTAGAAAAAGATTAAAAAAAAAGCTATTAGTAGGCACAAATTATTATTACACCCTCTATCCTGAATATAAGGCGCGATTAGACTTGGTGAGGCCACCTATATATAATTTCTCTTATAATATATACTTTATAGGAACAAAAGTTTGATCATTACAAAACATTTCTAAATTCAAGGATCTAATGTAACTACTTTTGTAATACAAACTTTTGATATAATTAGGCTAATTACTAGTCAAAGATAACAAAGTTTTAATTTTGAAATACATGCATGCCTTCAGGGACCAATGGAGTAACTGAGATAGCAAGTATTTTGAGCTTCAAGGAACAACAAATAAGCATGTACCTGCTGAGCAGTCCTCCATATGAAATGTTGACCATTTGGAGATGATATGTCTATCCTTTCCATTGCACAGAATATATGTGGTACCTAGTTCAGGAGGTCCCCATCTTTCTTTCATATAACGGCAAAGGCAACAAGCCCCACTCTCATCACTTGCTGGAACTTGGTCAATTGCATATAGTAAAGCATTGCAGCATGTCTGTGAGGACGAGGATGGCTTCCATACACCGTTTGGTTGCATACATGATAACACGGCAACGCTTGTCAAGTCATAACGACATGTGCCCTCTTCAGATCTTTGTGTATCTGTGGCTGAATAGGCTCCAGATGATGACAGAAGCATTGTGAGCAGCAACACCCACAACCAAGACTTTTGGACTACCAATCAAAACAAAGCAAAAACATGTAATATCAGTATGTTTGTATTTTTTTAGAACACAATGTACTTAGCAATTGGAAAGGGCATGTAACTCAATGACAAAACTGAATGGAAGAATCAAAAGTAAAATAAACTTACGACCTTTTTAGCCATGCAATTTATTGTACAGTTTGAAAAGAATGAGGACATTAACAATGTATTGAATATATCCAATGCAAAAGGTAGTCCAATAAGAAAAAGCGAAACGTACAGCATGTGACATTGGCATTAGGAGTATTTATCTCTGCATCAACAACTGAAACC